CTAAATGATTAAATACAAAAATAATAGTAGTTATTAAGATTGATGTGGTTTGGAATTGGTCAAATGTGCTTGGAAAAACCGTATGATCAGAATACCAACGTGCTTAATAATTATGCATGCACTGTAAGATGTGCTCCCTTTACACAGAGTGCGCGTGATCGCGAAATTAAAAGTGAACCGCAAGCGCTCATTCAAATGCGATTTCAATTCCCCCCATCTCCACCCCCAACCATTAGTGCCGTTTCGTTCCGTCTTTGACAGAACATATAGGACAATTTTCGAAATAGCGCCATAAACAGGGTTTAAAGCAAAAAAAAAAACCCAAACCCCATTCCACAGCCATACCCGTCACACACCCAGTTTAAAAGCAATGTTTTTCTTCTTGTAATTAGGAGCGCTGGCATGAGTGCAATTAAATTCATACATTTATGGTGAGATTAATGTTTTAAATATACAATTTTGAATACAGAAATATTAAATGATTGAAATAACTGAAATTATACGCTAAAAATGAAACTAAATCCACCAGCAGGTGGCGGTAAGTCACTGATTTTTTTAAGATTGGGTAATCATGAATCACTGACTCACTAGATTCGTTCAAAAACGCACTTTCATTGAATGAATGAAACTCAGCTGTGTTTGCTTTTAGAGATGCGAAGTGGCTGAGCTGTTACTATATTTGGAACTATTTTCGTTAAAGAAATAGAGCAAAATCCGGCAGTACTTGTTTACTGAACTGTTGTATTAAAATCAATATCACATTTGCAAACTCTACTATTAAAAGCTGTCACTCTCCTTATCGCGATCTGTGGGCGCACAGAAAATGAGAGCATGCGAGTGAGTTCTCAAGACTCAAAAGCACATGCAAATGATACATCCCTTCATCTGTCATTGTGTTATAAGCGAGGAACCTGCGGGAATGAATAGAATTGTTATTAATAGCCGCAATCCCACACCAAAATTCTAATCCTGCTCTGTGTTCTCTGCTAATAACCCGACTGTGAATGATGCGAGCGGCTTCACTATGTTGTCAGTGAGAAGCTGCAGCCGTGGCGGGGATGATTTTTGGTGTGCCAGCAAAACAACAACAACAATGCGCTACATGTTTCTTTTCCCCTAATTTTTTTCCAATTGATGGAAATCCGTCGTAGCGATGGAAAACAAGCACTTTCAAGGACCTATGTTTGTTTTCAAGTACTTTCCAGGCCTTGAATCCATATGTCTGAAATTCAAGTACTTTCAAGAAGCGTGGGAACCCTGATTTTGTGTGTATTGTTTTATTGTAGGCCATTTAAATGTTCAGTTACTTTTGTTATAAGAAAAAAAGTTATTAAACCTGTTATACTGTATTATGACAACACTTTTTTGCAACTAAATTTCAATATCGTGATAATACCGTGATAAAAGCATTAGCAATTAATCGCAACATGAAAATTTGTATAAAGGCTGTACACAAAGCAGCACTGTGTACATGAAAGCTATCAGGCATTATATGAAAGATGAATTAAAAATTACAAACTTTTCTGAAGACAGTCGGTTCATATAAAAACACCAGCGCCGCATTTTGACTGAAACGTGCAGAGCTCATGTTTATTCAATAAAGTCAAAGCCTTTTGGAAAATCTATTTGTGGCAGTCACTGTTGATAATGTGGCGGGCCACCACAAATAAATCAATGTATGGGAAATACTGATTTCGGTTCATCAAAATGAAGGTTGATTAAAATCAATTAATTAATACTGTCAACCCAGCCCTAGTCACTCTTTCTGGTATTGCTGAGTGGACCATTTTAAAATTAAAGCAGGATTTGGATTCTCACACAGTCTCATGTTAGCACATACATGTTTAAATTTTGTGGCTAACACTTTCAAAACGGTATTTTAATGATTATTGCTGTTGTCCATCAAACTTTCAATACTGTACACACAATTTTTGTATTGAAGTGACTACTCTGTACCTGATGTTAGTGACTGGTTCATGGTTCTCCTGCTCTGAATCAAACATGGCCTCAAAAAGTGAACCGTCCTCTGTTTCATCATCATCTTCCTTCACATTCTCATTTACTGTGTCCACCACCATATCTGATGTCTGTTCATAATACTGAACAAGCTCTCTTAGTTCATTCAAACGTTTGTGCACCTCCTTAAGTTTCCTGCATTAAGTGACAAAACAGACATAAAATACGCTGCATTACTAAAAATGACCAAAAAAAAAAAAATCAGTTCATCAATCAAATGAGATAAATAGAGAAACCTGAGTTTATCAGCAGGGTGGTTATCATCTATATGCGTGTAAGATGAGGAAGAGTCCTGCCTCACTGGACGTGGTCCATTTCCCTCTCTACCCAATACATAGGGACGCTCTGACATGCCCATGTGTGTACCACGCTGACTGACACTCTGACCTGAAGAAACACAAATACATTATTTATTCAATAACAGTACTTTTCACACAACTGCATCAAAAACATTTAACACAACAACATATTGCAAAAATGTACAATTGAGATCATCTAAAGCAGGGTTCCTCAATAGGCGGTAGGGATGTAACGATTTGATAAATCATGATAAAATTCCCACGGTTAGTATTACTGTTTCATCTTTTAATTATCATTAAAACCGTATTAGATTTGTACATTCTGCGTCGATGACGTCAAATGGTTGCACTCGGTGAACTACTGGTGCTTATTTCTATAGTCTTTGGCTTTTTACCGCAACACAACTCAGAATACACAACTCAGAAAATAAAATACTGATACGATATCACATTGTGTGACTTTTGGTTGTAATTTTCAGTCGGCCATACAAGTCTTAATACCCAGGGATCCCTTTAAGGGAAAAAGCTCTAATTCAGCTTTTCAATAAGCGCCACCTGCTGTCAGCAAGTGGATTTACAGAGACCTATATTTACATTCAGCCTGTGTGCAGTTTCTGTCTGGCCAAAAACGGACCGAATTTGCATGCCCTGCTGTAAATATTGACCGGTTGATGAAAAACAAGCTTATGTGGATTCTACACAGTTAAACAATTCAGATAAGTTATCTAGAATGATTTATGGAGCAGATAAAATACATATAATCG